CTACAATTCAGGTGTTCACTTCTACAAATCAGGTGTTCACTTCTACAAATCAGGTGTTCACTTCTACAATTCAGGTGTTCACTTCTACAAATCAGGTGTTCACTTCTACAAATCAGGTGTTCAGTTCAGCACTACTCTCATGTTCATCTCTACATGATTCACATGTTTTAAAGTCCTTCACAATTCAGCTGTTATGCATCTAGACACACAAGTGTTAGCCTTTCATTTAAAGCTTCTTGTGCTCATCCTTTACAGGTCAGTCTAAAGACATGAGGTTGAATTCTTACACTGATTTGTCAATTGTCCTCAATGAACACTCAGAACTCTGAGTACTGGACGACAATAAAGTTTAAAATTTGCTTATTCCTAACAATATTACCTTAATTATTTTCAAGCTTCTCTGATTCCATTTCTAATATGGAATTTACAACAGCGTATCATGAAAACAATCATACTGGGTAAATATATCTCAGATTTTAAGAAAATGACCGAAGACATGTTTAGTTGAATGAATTAGCAACTAAAGTTTAGTTATACGGTATGAATATTGAAAGAACTTGTAAGATTTCCTTTTGAATTTCCTGTCTTTCAAAATTGTCCCCAAGGTATTTCCAAGAATCTTCCTTGGGCATGTAGAGCAAGGTCATTGTTGTAACTTCCTGGACTGGGGGAAATTCCTGTTCATTAAACTGGCAAATTTTTGTTCATGCACTGATGCTAACTGAAGTTATAAATTGATTTTGACAACACTAGGCAGAGAATGTTTTTCAACTTTGTCTCAGAGGAGAAGGATAATTTGAAATGTGGTAAAAAGTGTTCTCTGCATATTTGAATTGAAACCTAATTTGCAGAAGCAAGCAGTAATGTTATAAACTAATGTCTTAAAAAGTTGATTTCATAAAGAGTTTTGTATTATCTGTTTTGTAATTGCTTAATGATTGATTCTGTATTACAGACAAGAGAATTTGTAATCTTTAATTAATGGCCCTGTCTGTCACATGTTTAGGAGAGGTGAATTCCCTAATTCAAAAACTCAATAAAAGTCTTATTTCAGACAGTTTATGACCATGGCGTGATATATAGAGCTTGACTATAGATGTGGGTTTAGTCTGAGTACAGGGCATTACTGTAAAATTCTTTTATTAGTGAATACACAATCTTCAACATTTATGTAATAATGTGTACTTACACACAGTGTATATTGCACTAACTTCCATACACAAGGTGTATGCTAAAGTACTACCATTATTACCCTAGTCAATTGATCTAAAGTGAGGACTACAACACGAACTGTCTGTTAGTAGCTGGAAGGTTAAAATCTAATGCCCATCTCATCCCACTAGGTACTCATTCACTGCTGGGTGAACTTTATGTGTTGTACAAGGGCTGTAAAGATGCATTTAGAATAAAACAATATGTATCTATAGAGGAAATAATGACAAAAATCAGACAAGAGACTATCCAGTCTTGACTATCTTAGAAACAGATTCTGTTTGGTACAAAGGGCAAATAATATATACTACCCATCAAAAGTTTAGAATCACTAGTGTAAATGTAGCCACTTACTGTTCTAAACTAGATTTTGCAAAATATTCCATGCTGTTTAAAGGTACTGTTTACACATGAACTGATGTATTGTAAAACAAATTTGTAACATTGAAAAGATTATTGTCATGAGTTCAATAAATGATGAAACTTAGTGAAAAGTGGTGAATTCTTAACAAAACTTTACACCAAAACGCAGCTGTTCACATGCACGATATTTGCACATGCTTTTCAGCAATTTGATGCATGATCCTCATGCAATTCATCTGCATAAGATTTGCAGTTGGTTCCCCCAAGTTGGTGGAGAAATTCAGCTTCAAGGTGTTTATGAAAAGGTTAAGTAGGTCATATCCTGGAGTAGCACCCACAATTCACTTTGTTTGCCAAACAATGTAAATATTTTACCCGATACCACACAGCAAATGCGGCCTGTAGATTAACCAGACAGTACAGTGATGGAGGACCAGACAATCCAGTTGTTGATGTTATTGTCTTGTAGTCTGTCATCACAGAGAGTACTGGGGACCATACATATTTAGTAAACTTGAGTCAGTTATAACTACTGGCTTGAGTACTGTTGAACATGCAGTCAGATAGAAGGTAATGATGGCCTTGCATCTTTATCAGACAACTGCCAGTGGACAGAGATGTGATGAACTAAGGCATTGTGTAGTTTACATAATCTTGTTTTATGTTTGGGAAATTGTTACACAGGTGTGCAGGGAAAGATTGGGATGTTCTTTAAAAGGGTGTCTTGAAGCAGTGATAACAAATATTTATTCTCAAACAAAATCCCTAACAGACCGTACACGTTGAAAATGTGAACAGTTGTATTAATAATAATAATAATATAGATCATTTGTAATGTGCTTGACTCCACAACACTTGGCCATGCTCTAAGCGCAAACACAAGACAGTCAATAGCGAAGAAAAAGAAATGTCTTTAGATGAGATTTAAAACTTGAGAGAGTTGGAGCAGATTTAATGTCTGTAGGGAGAGAGTTCCACAAGAAAGCAGCTGAATGTTTGAAGGATCTATGTCTGAAAGTTTTGAGTTTATATAGAGGCACAACAAGAAGTGATTGATCGGCAGATCTGAGATTCCTCGGTGGGACGTAGGGTGTATTCTGATCCGACGTGTATGCTTCAAGTTTTTGTTGTGGAATATCTACAATGATAGGCATATTAGTGAATAATAGTGTAAGAAATAAACATTTACAGTCAGTGTAACTGACTCTTAAGATACAACAAACAGATATATACTACTCAAAAAAAAAAAGGAAGGCATAGCACAGATTTTCAGGTCTGGTCTCTTTAGGATGAAACGCAAACATTAGTTACTTTAATATTTTGGTGACCAATACCTCCTTGACCCCTTTCCCGAGTTTGAATCTCTTTGTGCAGAAAACGATCACTGAAACTCAACCCAAACCTTATTTTTAGGAATAAATGTCACATAAGACACGGGTTTAAAAAGAAATTCACGTTTTTGTCAAGAAACATGCACTTTTGTACATGATAGGCAATAAATACCCCGGGTTCTGGCCATGTTAGTGACAGTTTTCAAACATGTAGTTGCGGTGTAAAGTCATGCCTAGATTTACTGAGGCTCAACAGAATAATGTGATTGGACATTTGGAAGCTGGTGAATCACAATCAGCGGTGGCAAGGCGCCTACACATATTCCAGAGCACAACAGGAAGACTGTGGCATCGTTTTCAACAGCATGGGACCACACAGGATAGACCGCGCTCCGGAAGACCACGTGTCACCACGCCTGCCCAAGACCGACTCATCCGTTTATAGCACTTACGTCAGATTCCTTTCGGCATCCTCTATCACAACCTCATTGCCTTTTCTCCGCAGAATCTCAGACCAGACAGTTAGGAATTGTCTACGTGAGACCGGTGTTCGTCCAGAAGACCAGCAGGAGGAATCATCCTCACATGACAACATCATCAGCTATGACAGCAGTGGTATGTCAACCATCAGCCATGGCCTATGCAGAGATGGAGAACTGTCATTTTTAGTGACAAGTCACACTTTCTACTGAGATGTCCAGACGGGGAGATCACGTGTGTATGGATGACGTCATGAATGTTTTTCTACAAACTGTGTTCAGGAAGTCAACAGTTTTGGCAGGGGTGGTGTTATGGTGTGGGCGCAGGAAGTCGACAGTTTTGGCAGGGGTGGCGTTATGGTGTGGGCGGTCATTTCATACAGTGGTAGATCTTGTTCACATTCAGGGGAATCTCACAGCTCGACGTTTTTGTGATGAGGTCATCAGGCCACATGTCATTCCGTTCATGAACAGACAAAACGTCATTTTTCAACATGATCATGCTCAACCACATAAGGCAAGGTTGACTACAGTGTTCCCGGCACAGAACAACATTCAGGTTCTTCTTCCGTGGCCTTCATGATCACCAGATCTTAACCCAGTTGAACACTTGTGGGACGAAGATAGATGTGTACGTCAACGTCATCCACAGCCACAGACTCTTCCAGATTTGTTTTGGGCATTGCGAGACGAGTACCAGAACATTCCCAGGCCTGTCATCCGGAATCCGATTCTGTCCATGGGTAGACAGTGTCAGGCTGTGATTGACTCTAATGGTGGCCATAATCGGTACTGATTTCATCTGACCTTGACCTTCATTTACAGTGCAAGTTACTGTTTACCTTGTCTACACTGTCTGCTGTAATCATTACTGTAACTTTGTTCCATTACCATGTCGTGTGATGCTCATATTTTCATATAAAACATTGACAACAATCTGTGCTGTGTTTCTTTTTTTGAGTAGTACACAAGTCTGACAAGATACATTGAGATTTTCACAATTGTTGGTCTTTCTCATTGTTCCAGCAAAGAAGTGGGAAGGATACCATTTCAAAATCTGTTGAAACATATTCAAATGTAATTAATCTGTTCTGTGTTTTGCGATGTGTTTTCGTTTTTTTGTTGATACATTTACAACAACAACAAAATGAATTTGGAGGAAACAGCTTAGCTGACAAAATACCATATCCTTCAGCCCAAGAATTTGTCAGGCAATATTATGTGAGCCACAACTTAAGAAACAAATAAACCAAGCAATATTTAATGTAATATCTGTTCAAAAAATTGAAAATGCAAAAGTTTTTAAAATTGTTCTGCCTTTCTAAAAAATATTTTGAAGTAGTCGTTAGAATAATACAATGTGATGTTGCAGATGGATATAGAAGCTCCTGAAAGGCAACAGACATTGTGTGCCCCATATATATTAATATATTTCAGCAACAGCTATCATCCTTTCTGGTGTACATCTATTCTCCAAAATTAGGATGTAATAAATGCCTCAGACAGATTGGGAATGTTTTGCCATGATGGCTGGAATATCTCAGGAGTATGTACTATGTTCCACAGAACTGATTAGACAGACTGTAATTATGGAGTGTTGATGTGTGTATTACAGGAAGTGGTGTTGCTGGTGTGGATCGCCATGGAGTTCTGTCTACGTCTGTGGTCCTCTGGGTGTCGGTCGCGGTACCAAGGATGTATGGGTAGACTAAAGTTCATGAGAAGGCCTCTCTGCTTAATAGGTGGGTGAAACATGACCACTTGTGGGTCAGATGTCATGTTATTTGATGTTATTTGTATGATGACATTTTATATTCCAAAATATGATCTGTTGATACCAGTGTATGAAATAAGCCAAAAACCAAGCCAGACATCAGGGCTGGTAACTTCAAAACATTTTGAAGTTACCAGCCCAAAATAGATTTAACCAGACCAAATATGGTGAATTTACTCAGATATATGGAACATCTACAAGTTTTACCAGACCATCGGGCTGGCTAGCTGTAAATTTAGACCGTCCGTCAGAAATCTAGACCGTCTCGGGCTGTCGGACGGGCCTTATTTCATACACTGTTGATACTTGTTCCCAATGTCTTTCCCCATGAAGATTAAAGTTAAATTTGATCATCAGCAAACGATTGGATCTGGTGGTCAGACTCACTAACTTCCTTGATACATGCCATTTCATCACAGACATGTAGAATGATGCTCATGGTGTCAATCACTGGATTGTCTGATACTGAATCTATTTATAGATCACCTCCATGTAGCTGGAGTAGTGGTCACTTCAGCATCAAACAGCTGTGTTTGAGATTTCAACCACTGGTCTTCTTTGTCTGTGTCCTATACAAAACTGGGCAAAAAATCTAATCTGGTTCAGTAGATTAATTGTAAATGTGATGAATAATGTATGAAGAAGGAACTGACAGACTGTTTGTTGTATTGTAAATGGGATGAATGCTATGTAGAGGAAAACTGACAGACTGTTTGTTGTATTGTAAATGGGATGAATGCTATGTAGAGGAAGAACTGATGGACTGTTTGTTGTATTGTAAATGGGATGAATGCTATGTAGAGGAAGAACTGACAGACTGTTTGTTGTATTGTAAATGGGATGAATGCTATGTAGAGGAAGAACTGATAGACTGTTTGTTGTATTGTAAATGGAATGAATGCTATGTAGAGGAAGAACTGATAGACTGTTTGTTGTATTGTAAATGGGATGAATGTTATATAGAGGAAGAACTGACAGACTGTTTGTTGTAAAATGAAGAATTGACAGACTGTTTGTTTGTTGTATTGTAAATGGGATGAATGCTATGTAGAGGAAGAACTGACAGACTGTTTGTTGTATTGTAAATGTGATGAATACTGTGTGAAGAAGGAACTGAGAGGCTGTTGTGTTTTAAATGTGATGAATACTGTGTGAAGAAAGAACTGACAGACTGTTTGTTGTATTGTAAATGTGATGAATATTGTATGAAGAAGAAACTGACACTTTTTGTTATATTGTACATATTCTTCTGTCAATCTATGTGTGTAGATATAATAAAGAAACTGATTCTCTTCTTCTTTGGTTATAGATGTGATTCTGCTGCTGGCCAGCCTGGTGTCTCTGATTGTTGGCAGCACCCAGGAGATGTTTGCTACTTCCTCTCTGCGAGGTTTTCGGTTCTTCCAGATCTTGCGTCTTGTCCGGATGGACAGACGTGGAGGCACATGGAAACTGCTTGGGTCTGTAGTATGGGCTCACAGACAGGTGAGGAGTCCTTGGGGAACCCTTTTACTCTGTGGCCCAAAAAGCATGATTTTCTTTTCATCTCCTTAGTGAGACTGCTTAATGTGTTTGATGAAATTTGGAACCTCTTACCACTTTATACCCAGTAACTGTTTGTCATACAACAAATGTTTATGATAGTTGTAAGTGACTTCCTACTTAATGCACTACATATACAACCCAGGATTTGTTTTCTGACATTTCATTTCAAAACTTGTAGTTAAAGGTCACTCAGTATGAACAGGGCATTAAAACGTTTGACAAAACTTAATGTACAAAATTCTTGCCCAGGGTCTTGATCGCATCTATATAAGGTCAAGGTCACTGGAAGACAGAGGATGACACATGGCTTACATTTCAAAAAGGTTTTGATGGATTCATGAAATTCAAAGTATTATCTATTCACTAATCATAGATTCTAAATACCATGTTTAATACCTGTCCTTTGTTATGGTAGTGTCACAAGCCACAGTCAATTTGAAGGACAATCACTCACAAAGTGACTTGTAAGAACATGCAAAAGTTATAGCATTTAAACCGGAAGTGGTAGTCTGTTTCACAGTCCCTGAACTAAATTATTTTCCCTTCTGCCCATTCCTTTATGAAGCTAATCGAGATTTCCTCAGGTTCTGAATCTGTTATTTCACTGGGGCTCCTTTTCAATTTAAATGGAATTATCTGTGTCCATAAAAATTATGTATATTCAGAGACTAAGCATTATTCTACAGAAGTGGTAATAATGTTTTCTAGGGGTAACACTTAGTTGTTTCACAGACAACATGAATGATTAAAGATGAACATCTCAAGGGATTGATCAGCTGTCACCTAAGTTGGTAAATTCTAAGTAGTTCATTATGCAAGATATGACTGATTATTATAAATTTCTTTTTATATGCATTTATTCTTATCTGTATTCCTTGTTTTAAGAGCTTGTTCTATTTTGCACATGTAAATATTAACCCAACAACTATGCTAAAGCATGTCTGTGTCATGAAACCATGCATTTAGATATGATAATATTCCAGCTATATGGCTGCGGTCTGTAAATAATCGAGTCTGGACCAGACAACCCAGTGATCAACAGCATGAGCTTTGGTCTGCGCAATTGGGAACCGATGAAATGTGTCAACCAAGTCAGCGAGCCTGACCACCCGATCCTGTTAGTCACTTCTTACGACAAGCATGGGTTACTGAAGGCCAATATTCTAACCCGGACCTTCACGGGTAGAGACAAGCATGGGTTACTGAAGATCAATATTCTAGCCCGGACCTTCACAGGGCTCTTTATGCCAGCATGTAAACAGCATGGTTAGCAAATGACTGTAATCGCTTAAATAACTCAGACATTAGATATGAAACTGAACTTGATGTTAAGAGTTAAAGTTTTGATAAGCAAAGTTAAACAAATAATGAGTCATAGATGGATTACGTAAATATTTGTCATTTCTTTTAGTTTGGAATAACGCAGTAGGTATTGTAATTTTCTTTGTTCGTGTTTCTAAGCTGCCACTATCTTAAATGTCAACCATCATGTGCTTCATCATTAATCACAAGACATCTTCAGTGTGCTTTTGAAAATAATAGAAAAGCAGAAATGACGATTGCAACATTATGGCATAACTTTTATGACATTTTGCTGAAACATTACAAAGTTAAACTAGATGTCTTTTCTTAAATACTTAGAAACATGCGGTCATCCACGTGACAATGTTTGTTTGACACAAGGACAGTTTGTAGTTCTTGCAAAACTAATCCATTTACAATGGAATAATAGAAAAGCAGAAATGACGACTGCAACATCATAACTTTTATGACATTTTGCTAAAACATTACAAAGTTAAACTAGATGTCTTTTCTTAAATACTTAGAAACATGCGGTCAGCCACGTGACAATGTTTGTTTGACACAAGGACAGTTTGTAGTTCTTGCAAAACCAATCCATTTACAATGGACCAGATGCCATGAGTGATTTACCGTATAATGGCACTGCATTAGTACTACCCCTTGGGTAACTCACACTCAAATGTTATTCTCAGCTTCCTTGGGAGATTAGAATCCAAACTGTTGTATAAGGCCACATTATCATATCATCCTTCTGGGTACCCATTTACTGATATTTGAACAAAGGTATCTACGGAAAATGTCTTTCCAAAGGAGACGCCACATTTACATAACTTATACTTCAGTACTGGGCATGGCCTAAGTCCGAGAAAAGTCTTGGTCACTTTTAACTAGACAAAACATCATTTCCCCTGATTTGTGACCTGTGTGCTGTAATGACCATGAGCCCCCACTGTACTTTGTGCTGATGTACATCTCTCTCTCAGTTAATCATTTACTGGACATGTCATACCAAAAGACATGGACAGATGGCACTTGTTACCTAGCCTGGCACTTAGCATTAATGGGGTAAAACAAGAAATGGTCGATACAGAATCAATGTACTGTGTGTGAGTGCTGAACACCGGTAGGTCACTAACCTGGGACTATAAGACCTTAAAGCAAATAAAGTACAGCTATGTACACACATACACACACCTCACCTTGAACACAAGGTTAACCCTGTATCACCTCACATAGTAATTACCCTAATGACACTCTAACAGTGTCCCAGTTTCACACAAGTGCTTTCATACCTGTCAAGGCCAAGATTTGAAACGGCTGACAGACCGTCTACATCAAAGGGGTTAATATACTTGAACTGTTAATGAACTGTTTAATTATTGAAATAATAGTGAAGATGCCCTTTCCACATCCATCAGAAATCGCTTTCTCATCAGAGGGTAGAGACTATGGACACATCAGATGTTGCAAACTACTTCATTGAGACCATTGCTGACATTGATGATGGGAGAACTGTTTCCTAAATTGAATGGCTGTTAAGGTCAAGGCTGATGTTTTCAAGATATCGAAATGAACCAAGTAGCTTGTAGCTTGTGAACTGAATATAAGAATATATTCACATCAGAAGCGACACATTAGGAGATGATTTCATGAGTGAACATGCATCAAGCAATACTTGATGAACAAGGGACAGAATTAGTGCATGATCAGGGCCCTGTTCCTCAAAGCGATCGTAGTGCTACGATGATCGTAACTCCCATACTTTAACATAAACCTACGACAGTCGTAGTGCTACGATTGCATTGAGGAATGGGGCCCTGTGTTAATATATCACATACATGAATGTACTTCCATAATCTCTTTGCTATTGGACCCGTGAAGATCCGGGATAGAATAGGTCTTTAGCAACCCATGCTTGTCGTAATAGAGGCGACTAACGGGATCGGGTGGTCAGGCTCACTGACTTGGTTGACACATTTCATCGGGTTCCAATTGCGCAGATCGATGCTCATGCTGTTGATCACTGGATTGTCTGGTCCAGACTTGATTATTTACAGACCGCAGCCATATAGCTGGAATATTGCTGAGTGCGGCTTAAAACTAAACTCCCTCACTCACTCACTCTTTGCTATTGCCATTTACTACATGATCATTCCTTGTAAGAAAATACGTCTGAAGCAATCTACCTTTGTCACAAGAGGCAACTAACTGAATCTGGTAGACTCACCACTCAGTTCATTGCATCTCAATGTATCCCAGTGTATCCATGCTCATGACATGGTCTGGGTCGTCTGGTCCAGACGTGATAATTTATTATTTTAGTCTGTTATACAGACTGAAAATTGTTGACAAAATAAATCAACTATAGACATACTGAGGCCCAGTAGGAAGTATTTCTCTATCTTACAAACCAGTACGGGAACTAATGAAGTCAATACTGTTGTAGTCTGTGGCACCATTACAACTGTGACATCAACAAAAATGGCTTTGACAGTTTCATTATATTTTTGTTTGTTTGTTTGTTTGTTTTAACATCGCACTCAGCAATATTCCAACTATATGGTAGCAGTCTGTAAACAATAGCGTGATCAACTGCATGAGCGTAAATCTACGCTGTTGGGATATGATGACGTGTCAACCAAGTCAGCGAGTCTGACCACCCAATCATGTTAGTCGCCTCTCATGACCAGTATGGGTTGCTGAAGATCAAGTTTAATCTGGATCTTCACAGGTTATATCACATGACAGATCATTTATATGTTTTGCTATCTTGCTTGTCTTTAACCAAACAGAAAATACACATGTACACATATGATGAGGAGGTTGAGGTCAAACTTCTATCAAAGGTCAAGGTTGATGAAGGTGATGTTAATTAAATATTAAGTGAACATTAGGATTATGTACTTCAATTTATAGTCTGTTAAGATGAATAATATATCCTTTCATCATCACCCTACAAAAACTTAATGTAATTATTTCAAGCATGTGATGCATTATGAATAAGTTTGACATCTTCAGGAAAACTCACATCATAGAGCATAGTCTGCTAGTTCATCTGTTCCAGTCCAGAGCCATTGTACATAGATGTTTATGAACTAAAGTTGAAAATACTCAGATGAGCTACAGAGCCTAGTGATTATATTTTTTTTGTTTCACCTTGCTGAGAAATATGTGAAACATGAAATAGAATACTCATGACATAGATGAACGGGGTGCCACATCCTCCCTGTACATTGTCCACAGGTGACAACTCAATGAGAGTTCATATGGCTTTTAGCTTAACCCTCACTAAACCACATGTAACAAATGTCTCTTTGGGCAAGAGACTGACTGACTGACTGAGTTTGGTTTTTACGCCGCTTTTAGCAATATTCCAGCAACATCATGGCGGGGGACACCAGAAATGGGCTTCACACATTGTGCCCATGTGGGGATTCGAACCTGGGTCTTCGGCGTGACGAGCCAACGCTTTAACCATTAGCTACCCCACCGCCCCTGGGCAAGAGACTGTTCAGTATATTTTCTGTTTACTAAATAGTTAAAAGGTACCCAGTGGGGTGGAACGGTATTGTGACATATATGCTTGGACCACACAGGAGGTTTGGGTTGTATTCTCCTCATGGAGACTAGAATGAAAGTTGTGTTCTTGGTGATCCATTGACTAGGGTAATTTAACATAAAGCCCTTACAGTGTAGATAGAACTTGGCCGTACAGAAATCATTATCATCATCATCATCATCATCGTGTGAACTAATACCACTGCCAGGTCACTGATATAAAGGGAATTAAGGCTGTTTATCTTGACACTGGATTATCGACTGTTTTTACAATATTTTGAAAAAAGTACATTGACCATTCTGAAGTAGTCTGGTTATCTGATTCTGTGAGGAAAGTTTCTGCTTTGGATACCACACCATGGATATCCAAAGTGTTTTTGTGTTGAGGCCAGACCAATTTCATTTCTTGTTTTACGGATTTTTGTTCTCAGAAAACCTAAAGGTAGGAGGGGGAAAAAAATATAAATAAAATCACCAGTCAAAGTAATATTCCTTCTAAATACTCAAAGTAGTTTACTTTTGACAATTAATGAAGTGTATATAGGGGAAAAAACAATCTGAGACACTTTTTCAGTAAGTTTACATTTTTGGCCAATAAAAAACATTAGGATTTTATTTTTTGAGCGGGGAATATATATTTTTATTTTGTTCTTATTCTTGAAAAAATGTGACAGGTGAATCCGTAAAACAAGAAATAAAATTGGTCTGGCCTAATTAACAAGTCTAATCCAAGCCTTTAAGTGCACTTTACATATTGTTTAATTATATAGATATGCTGCTTAATAGAACTATGACACTAAAGCTTTTTACATGAAAGCCCTCCATGAGTCTCTGATGACACCATGTGGAGCTGTAAAACCAATGTAAACACAGGATATATGAGCAAATGGATTAGTTTTTCACCTTTTAGGATATTTTCTCAATGAATGTTAAACATTTCATGGGTGTGCAGACAGATGACAAATATGCAATATCTTGAATGTACTGTGTGAGATGATGATGTGATAGAAGTACGTGTACTAGGTAAGGTCAAGGAATTCTGGGTAGAATAATGTTCTGCTATGTCACTTGCCTCAAACAAAGTTTATGCTACTGTCTAGGCTTTGATAAACACAAACCTTTAATCCAATCAATTTGGCAGTAAGTATTATATTTCATCCTTAAAACACACACACAAGCTTCCTCTTGATTTCATGGACCGCTTCCGTGGTGTAGTGGTTAGAGAGCGGAAGGTCTCTCCACCTGGAGAGCGGAAGGTCACAGGTTGAATCCCCGGACGCATCATACCAAAGACGTTAAATTATGGTACTTGTTGGTCCCTGCATTAAGGGGGCGGTGGGGTAGCCTAGTGGTTAATTATAGAGAGTTGGCTCGTCATGCTGAAGACCCGCGGGTTCTATTCCCCACATGGGTACAATGTGTGAAGCCCATTCCTGGTGTCCCCCGCCGTGATGTTGCTGGAATATTGCTAAAAGCGGCGTAAAACCAAACTCACTCACTCACTTACTCTCTGCATTAATGGGTACAACAAGGACCGGTCGGCTCGGAGTCAGTATAATGTGTCTTAGTAGGGTATTCATGCTTACATCAGCAGCGAAATGGTATCTCAGTGAGTTAGCACTATAAAACCAGCTTAAGTCTGGGCTAGTACAAGCAGCCACACATACACACGTATGCACGTCATATGAGCGAAATATTCTCAAGTACAACATTAAACCCCATTTCACCTCACTTTGATTTCACAACCAAAACTAGTCTTACTGCACAGCAATTGATTCGCTCTACATAGCTGTTATATTTTGGTTTTAGAAGTGAAATATGCATGAAATAAAGGTATGGCACCACACTTGGAATTATGTCATTCCTGATTTAAACCACTGCGAACCATAGGATGCCCTTGTCCTTTAATGCTGATGATATAGTTGAAGAGAGAAACAGATGCCTCCACATACATACTTGTTTATGTTTTATTTGGTTGTTGATGTATTTGCAACAGAGATTGAACTTGGTACTAAAAAGATTGAACTCTGTACAAAACATCTGTGTCAAACTTCAGTAATAAATCTCTTTATTGCAAATAGAATTAGGCATAAGTAGCACAGTGGAATTCAACAGAATAGGAACAATGAGTGAGTGAGTATGGTTTTACGCCGCTTTTGGCGATATTCCAGCATATCACTTTTGGGGACACCAGAAATGGCTTCACACATTGTACCCATGTGGAGAATCGAACCAAGGTCTTCAGCATGACGAGCGGACGCTTAACCATTAAGCTACCTCACTGCCCTATTCTCTTCATTAACCAGATAAATGAAACCTATATTTTCTAAATATTTTACATATTTGGCTTCCATTTCATGTAATTTGACAACTTGAATGTCATGAATTTCTTGTAACCAAATTTATGACATGAAACAGAAATTAACTTTACGAAAATTTCCAAAGCAAGGACTTCATATTGATGAAAGAAGAGAGTTTGGGGATGACTTGCACATTGTTAACAAAGCCAGTTCTGATTGATTTAGCTGAAAAATTAATTTACAAATAACTTTTATTAAATATGTATGCAACATGAGCCATGCTGCAGACCATATGAAGGCAGTTGCAGACAGACAGACAGACAGACAGACATATTTATTTGTATATATGGCCTGAGGCCAATAGTACATGTGTACAATAATAACAGTGCATTTATGCTCAACCTGTAAATGCGCGAGTTATAGGAACATCAATAAATCCATAAACACCCATTTACAATTTACATTTTTTCTGTCAACATAAGTATGTGGTACAACACAAGGGCTACCTTAAACAACAAGTCAATATTTTCTGTGCGAAGTAGCATACAGAATTTTTGTCTCGACGGTTGGTTATAGAAAAAATAAGGCAAATATGTTTCTCTTATTTCTAAATATTTCGGCAGTATTTCGGCAGATGCATGTTCTTTCTTCGTCAACAAACTGAAACAAACCTTATCAATTTGAGATTTCCCATGTTGAAATGAAACAATTCTATGCAAATTTTGATCATGTGACTTAAAAGGAATTGGGAACCTATGAGGACGGTTCCACCAGATTATGATCCAACAGAGAATCTCATATTATTGTGACATACAATACTTTGAGGATTTAATTGCATCCCCCATACTCTCATTGAGGCCCCAACAATTGTCCTCATGATATTACAAAAAGAATTCAATCGTTCATCTAATCCTATTTGTATGTTCCATGTTCCAGTGCCATTCCTCTGATCTAAGCATGACTTCATATTTATTGAACACAGTATCCCTGGTTTGGTAATCATACATTCTATACAAAATGGTAATGTGATTTATGTCTTTGTTTTTTTCAGGAGCTGTTGACCACTTTGTATATTGGCGTCCTTGGCCTCATCTTCTCCTCTTTCTTTGTGTACCTGGCGGAGAAGGATGCTTACAAAGGATTACTTGGGAAGGAAGGAAATGAGAAGCGCTTCTCCAGCTTTGCTGATGCCTTGTGGTGGGGAGTGGTAAGTTAGCCATGAGAAGTGTTTCTCCAGCTTTGCTGATGCCTTATAGTGGGGAGTAGTAAGTTAGCCATGGGAAGTGTTTCTCCAGCTTTGCTGATGCCTTATTGTGTGGAGTGGCAAGTTAGCCATGGGAAGTGTTTCTCCAGCTTTGCTGATGCCTTATTGTGTGGAGTGGCAAGTTAGCCATGAGAAGTGTTTCTCCAGCTTTGCTGATGCCTTATAGTGGGGAGTGGTAAGTTAGCCATGAGAAGTGTTTCTCCAGCTTTGCTGATGCCTTAGTGGGGAGTGTTAGCCAGAGAAGTTAGCCAGTGGGGAGAAGTGCCATGGGAAGTGTCCAGCTTTGCTGATGCCTTGTGGTGGGGAGTGGTAAGTTAGCCATGAGAAGTGTTTCTCCAGCTTTGCTGATGCCTTATAGTGGGGGAGTGCAAGTTAGCCATGAGAAGTGTTTCTCCAGCTTTGCTGATGCCTTGTAGTGGGGAGTTGGTAAGTTAGCCATGAGAAGTGTTTCTCCAGCTTTGCTGATGCCTTGTAGGGGGAGTGGTGGTAAGTTAGCCATGAGAAGTGTTTCTCCAGCTTTGCTGATGCCTTGTGGTGGGGATTGGTAAGTTAGCCATGAGAAGTGTTTCTCCAGCTTTGCTGATGCCTTATAGTGGGGAGTAGTAAGTTAGCCATGAGAAGTGTTTCTCCAGCTTTGCTGATGCCTTGTAGTGGGGAGTGGTAAGTTAGCCATAGGAAGTGTTTCTCCAGCTTTGCTGATGCCTTATAGTGGGGAGTAGTAAGTTAGCCATGAGAAGTGTTTCTCCAGCTTTGGTAATGCCTTGTGGTGGGGAGTTGTAGGTAAGTTAGCCATGAGGAATGTTTCTCCAGCTTTGCTGATGCCTTGTAGTGGGATTGGTAAGTTAGCCATGAGAAGTGTTTCTCCAGCTTTGCTGATGCCTTGTAGTGGGTGTGGTAAGTTAGCCATGAGAAGTGTTTCTCCAGCTTTGCTGATGCCTTGTAGTGGGGAGTGGTAAGTTAGCCATAGGAAGTAAGTTAGCCATGGGAAGTGTTTCTCCAGCTTTGCTGATGCCTTGTAGTGGGGTGTGGTAAGTTAGCCATGAGAAATGTTTATCCAGCTTTGCTGATGCCTTGTAGTGGGGAGTGGTAAGTTAGCCATGGGAAGTGTTTCTCCAGCTTTGCTGATGCCTTATAGTGGGGAGTAGTAAGTTAGCCATGGGAAGTGTTTCTCCAGCTTTGCTGATGCCTTGTAGTGGGGAGTGGTAAGTTAGCCATGAGAAGTGTTTCTCCAGCTTTGCTGATGCCTTGTGGTGGGGAGTGGTAAGTTAGCCATGAGAAATGTTTATCCAGCTTTGCTGATGCCTTATAGTGGGGAGTGGTAAGTTAGCCATGAGAAATGTTTATCCAGCTTTGCTGATGCCTTGTAGTGGGGAGTGGTAAGTTAGCCATAGGAAGTGTTTCTCCAGCTTTGGTAATGCCTTGTGGGGATTGGTAAGTTAGCCATAGGAATTATTTCTCCAGCTTTGCTGATGCCTTGTAGTGGGGTGTGGTAAGTTAGCCATGAGAAGTGTTTCTCCAGCTTTGCCAATGCTTTGTGGTGGGTTGGTAAGTTAGCCATGAGAAATGTTTCTCCAGCTTTGCTGATGCCTTGTAGTGGGGAGTGGTAAGTTAGCCATAGGAAGTGTTTCTCCAGCTTTGGTAATGCCTTGTGGGGATTGGTAAGTTAGCCATAGGAATTATTTCTCCAGCTTTGCTGATGCCTTATTGTGGGGTGTGGTAAGTTAGCCATGAGAAGTGTTTCTCCAGCTTTGCTGATGCCTTGTAGTGGGGAGTGGTAAGTTAGCCATAGGAAGTGTTTCTCCAGCTTTGCTAATGCCTTGTGGGGATTGGTAAGTTAGCCATAGGAATTATTTCTCCAGCTTTGCTGATGCCTTGTGGTGGGGTGTGGTAAGTTAGCCATGAGAAATGTTTCCCAGCCATGCCTTTGCTGGTATGCCTTGTAGCTTTGCTAATGGGGTGTGTGGTAAGTTAGCCATGAGAAGATCCAGCTTCAAATGTCTGTAGTAACTGACAAATTGTTAACTGAAGAACACTTTAAGATCCGGGTAAGAATAAGTCTTCAACAAGCCCGGCTGGTTGTGGGCAGCTGTTAACTGCTGCATGTCCTAACTGTGTAAGTCGATGCTCATGATATTAATCACTAAATTGTCTGGTCAAAGCTTGATTGTTTTTACAGGCCAAACGTTTTAGCTGGAATATTACTGAGTGTGACATAAAACAAGGAATGAACAAAATCTTATGTAAAGTAGAGCTGTGTATCATGGCCTAAGTGGCGAGACGATATATCCCAATACCAGTTTAATGGGACGAGGCAATATAGAGTCAAACCCCAATGTCTCGAACTCGGTTGAGACGAATTGTGTCGAACTCATCTCTCGGTCCATACTGATTTCCTCATATTTATCATTATTTTACCCTGATGTCTCCAGCTATATGTGTCGAATTCCTGGTTGTGTCGAACTCATTTTAGAGAGAGTCCCCAAAAGCCCTAATAAGTACAAATTTACCCTTTTGGCTCGAACTGTCAAAGTTGGTTCTTGCAACTGAAAACTTACTTTGCTCAATCAAAAGTCATGCTCACAAACGTGCTACCTAAAGATCAAAGGTGAGGATTAAAGGATTAATCAAGTGGCATGTTTAACTATACATCTATACCCACATTGTCATGACACTAACCAAGTGATTAATTAACTTGTTACCAGTGACCATTGATGACAGACCGACAGGAAATCTCTAAACAAACATTGGCGCATGTTTTTGTCACGTGACAATTTTAAGGATGTGAAATGCCACAGCAGCAAATGCATTAAGGAGAGAATCACTGTCCTAGTAGGCGCCAACATGTCAGGTACTGACAAACATCCACTTCTTACAATAGGTAAATCTTTTTGTATGCACATTTATTTGTCATGACCAATAAAGTGATTGAATTGATTTACAGGGGTTGAAATAACCCATTGCCCGACGCCCGAGTCCAGTGTTTTCTTCTGTCGGGCAAGCAAATTTGTATATCTCACTGTACCGGTGTCCAGTTGACTTTCCAATATTAATTATGTTGTTTATTTAAAAAATCAACAAGAAAACGGCCGGTATAGTGGAATAATTATCAGGGCAAGTGATTTTACATGTGCCACTGTACCGGAGTACACTAGCAATTTTAAAGTTATTTCCACCCCTGATTTACATTCTTGTATATTTAATTTAATGATCAGTACAGCAGTAAACGGTATCTTCCCATAAGACAGACCTCCCAAAAGACAGACCGCTTAAATGAACGCATTTTATGGTTGGTTGCATAAGGCTTCATTAAGCTGTACCCTGGATAATAATGGTATGTGCCCAGATAAAACAGACAACTTTAGGTATTAACTTTAGTGGCACTGGTAGGGAACTTGATTACAGAGAGTGGAGTCTTTGTGATTTTTGCGACAGAAACATTATGATTTATGAGTCTTTGCAATGATATGTGTTATGATAAGATAAATGGTATAGCTATAGTTTGTGGTATTAAAGACTATAACAAGGTGTAAAAACCTTGGAGTCAACTTTGTGTGCAGACTCTTTCCGTGTTGTCACAACCCCTAGTGTACAGTACACAACCCTGTGCACTTAAAAGAACCCACCGTTGGTATATGACCAGATGATGGCCACACGAATACGTGCAAACACCTAGTTGCAGGTACAGCAATGTGTAGTGAACTTGGACAAAGTACTGTGACTATGTCTCCCAGTCCACCCAGCTGTGAATGGGTACCTCGTACGGATGAGAAAGTCACAATAACTCGGTGCGCCTAGTGGCAGCAAGAGTTGTATACTCTCCAGGGATTTGAGATTGATAACACGATGTGCCGTTGAAATTGACATCCAATGATCGAGGGAAAAAATACCAACACCTTGAGCATGCACTAGTGGATATGTGCGCTAGATATATATCATATAATGATAATATAATAATATTCACAACAAATAATGTCAAGTTTTCCACATAAAATTGTGTCATATATGTATACCAATATTTCAACATCAGCTTCCCTAAATAATATTTCAGAAATGTAACAGTTTTTAACACTGGTAACGGAAAATTTGAGATTGAAAGATGATGGTAACCAAAAATTTTGTGTTCATTCAGGATAAGGAAGTGAGTTGTGTTGTATATAAACATTTACTTGGCCGATAAAATGGTGTGCATAAGGTACTTTCAAGTCACCCACATGAACAAGCCACAAGATAAGATTTCTTCATTATCTCAAGGGACATTTTGCGTGCATCATGTACTATGCTTAACTAACATAGTCTGTACAAAACAATTATTTAACAATTTATGACTTTACAAGATTATCAAGGGTTTTCGGAGTAATATAACTATATATAAAGTGCTTGAAAACATTCTTAACTTTTCTAACAACTCGGTTCTCTACTACTCAGTATTCACTTGTAAACTAGGAGAGATAGGAATGTGCTGTTAGTGACTCTGGGTCAGCTCATTAATTACATAGGGGTGGACAGCATGGCTCAGCTGATTAGTGTACTCATTAAGTCTGTCTTATGGGAGGTCTGTCTTTTTTTGGGAGTGAACCCAGTAAACATTCATTGCAAAGATGAATTGTTCCTATGTATAGCCTACTGTAGAAAAATGATGTTGTAGCAACTTTGGTCGTGTTGGTACTTGGTCATTTCTATGCTGACAGATGTGTCAAACACTCGGAAAAGTCAAACTTTCCCCTTGGTCATGATGAGTTCGACAAAACGGGGTTTGACTGTATATCATGAAATCATTGACAAGGAACCTGCGAGACGATTATCATCACGATGTAATGGTGGCGATATGATATGTAGACCTATACAGTACAATTTCTAAAAACAGAATAGATATGACATAAAATGACTGAAACTTTATTTGTTATACAGCAGAACTTGTGCTACATTCACACACATTTATAAAG